ACATATACATATACATACACATACACATACACATAAAATGCATATACATAAACAGAAGCATGCACATATACATACACCCATACACATACACATCCATATACATTTACAGATACATATACATATACATATACATATACATACACATATACATATACATATACATATACATATACATATACATACACATTTACACATACATATACCTATACATAACCATATACATATACATATACGCTTACACACGTATATCTATACTATACATCTGCATATGTACGTGCAAACATACGTATACACGCAGGTTTAGGTATAGGTGTGTGCGTGCGTGTTTACTGCCTTCCTGCGGCGCAAGTATATCCGCCGCCGTGGCGGCCGCGCAGCCTCTCGGGCGCGCCTCTCGGGCGCAGGTCGGGCTGGAGACCGTGCGGCTGCAGCCGCTGGCGGCGGCCCCCCCGCTGCCCGCCGGCGGAGGCGTCGGCACCCGCCTCGCGAGGAGGAGGAGGAGGGGGAGGGAGGGAGGGAGGGAGGGCGGGAGGGAGGAGGGGAGGGAGGGAGGGAGGGAGAGAGGGAGGGGAGGGAGGGGAGGGACGAGGGAGGAGGGAGGAGGGAGGAGGGAGGAGCAGGGAGGAGTACGAGGAGGGACATGTAGCGAAGGAGTTCCAGGGGCTCACCCAGAGCTGGTCGCTGAAGCGCCAGAAGGGTGGGAGGAGCTTCAGTGCCCTTGGTTGAGGAGCGGGTCAAACCTTCTTTGAAGTAATGGGTGGTCTAGTTTACTCCACCAGCCTCCGCCTTGGGCCAATTAGTCTGGGGGGACGTGGTTGTTGGTTCGGATGGATCGAGGGGGAGCCGTACTCCTCGGAGCCCAGGCTGAGACGTTGTGGATGGGTGCTCTCGGTAGTTCGGGAGACATGCAGCTAGGATGGGGGCATGGGCCTCGTCCTGGGTTTAAGCGGACAGAATTAGAAGTCGCTATTGAAGCTCTCAGGTGTAACCTTGGAACTATCACCCTGGCCGTGTATTCGGCCATCGTGATTGTCAGTTTCCAGCGAGGCCCACGTTATGTGCCCCCAGCGATTGTTGCGGCTTGGCGTAGATTTTGGGTCCAGACAGGATCGAGAGTAATTGATCTGATCAGAGTGAAGAGCCGCACTAGGTCAACCCCTGAGAGTGAAGACGGGCCACCTGTGCTGCTCTGGCTTGCTAACGGTGCTGCAGGCGCAGCTGCGGAGATGGGAGCCACCAGATCACTGCTCCCAGGCCATGTAGTACAGGAAGTTAGTGGGATTGATGAGCTGACCTGGAAGGTCCAGCAACATCTGGTGGCTGTCTCGCTCGGTATCGCGTCCAAGGCACCAGAATTGTACGGCCCCAGCTCGAATGCCGCCAGGATGGCGGATGCGACGCTGCGAGGCATAGAGCGGGCGTGTAAGGTTGCGGAAGCCAAGGCGGGGTCTGCCCTTGATGTCTCGGACTCGGAGGGTGTCACATGCCAGTTGTGCCTCGCTGGACTTACTTCTGGTCGAAGGATGCAAGGTTGGTTCATCTCCCCGTGTTGCCGAGTTCCCAGAGGCATCCCCCCACGCACACATTGGCTTTCCGTGATGGGATTCGTTGGTGCCAGAACTGTGGGGCTACAGGCACGGGGGGACATTTTTCAAGCTGGGCCAAGTTTGTCGCACTGACACAGTCGGCTCCTGGGGCAAGAGGGTGCTGAAAGGCCTCGCCGCTGGGATGCTTCCACATGGGGTTTCGAAGCCTGGCCCGAGCCAGACGGCTAGTTTTTTTTGTTTTGGCGCACCCGCTTGAAGGATCTTTTGTTGGAGTTCTGGACGCGGGCGAGGAGGAGGAGGATGTAGGAAGGGAGGGAGGGCGGGATGAAGGAGGAGTAAGAGGATAAAGGGGGTGGGAGTAGGAGTAGGAGTAGGAGAAGGAGTAGGAGTAGGAGGAGTAGGAGTAGGAGTAGGAGTAGGAGGAGGATGAGAAGGAGGAAGAGGAGGAGGAGGAGGAAGAGGAGACTGATGAGGAGGAGGAGGATGAGGAGGGGAGGGGGAAGAGGAGGACAACAGGAGGAGGACGACCGGAGGAAGGGGGGCGGAGGGAGTGAAGGGGAAGGCGGGAGGGACGGGGGCGAAGGAGAGGGTGAATAGGTATGCGGGCAGTGGCAGAGAGGGACGAATGGAGGGAGGAACGGAGCGAGGCGATGCTGATATTGATAACGACGATGATAACGATGACGACGATGACGATGACGATGCTGATGCTGGTGACGATGACGATCTCGATGATGACGATGATGATGCTGATGCTGCTGATGATGATGATGATGATGATGATGATGACAATGACGACGATGCTGACGATGATGCTGCTGCTGCTGATGATGATGCTGCTGATACTGATGTTGGCGATGATGCTTCCGCTGATGATGATGCGGATGATGCTGTTGATGCGGATGATGAGGATGTTGATGCTGCGGATGATGCTGCTGCTGCTGATTCTGAATATTGTTGGTGGTGATGATGCAGATGAGACTGGTGGTGCTAATCGTGGCGATGACGACGATGATGACGATGTTGGCGAAGATGAACATGATGATGTTGCCGCTGATGATGATGATGATGATGATGATGCTAATGCTGATGATAATGATGATGATAATGCTGATGTTTATGTATATTCTGATGATGATGATGCTGTTGGTGACGGCGACGACAATGGTGATGGGGCTGACGATGATGAATATGATGTTGCTGCTGATGATGGTGGTGGTGATGATGCTGCTGATGGTACTATTGATGATGGTGATGATGCTGCTGCTGCTGCTGATGATGATGATGATGATGTTGACGATGATGATTATGATGGACATGATTCTGATGCTGATGCTGATGATGCTGCTGATGATGATGCTGATGCTGATGCTGATGCTGATGCTGATGATGACGACGACGATGATGATGATGCTCATGATGATGATGATGGTGATGATGATGATGATGCTGATGATGATGGTGGTGGTGGTGGTGATGATCATGATCGTGGTGATGATGATCCAGGTGTGGATGATGGTGGTGATGATGACGACGATGACGATTAACGTGATGGTGGTGGGGAGGATAATGCTGGTCATGATGATGATAGTGATGATCATGATCCCCTATGTCGATGGACAGGACGCGACGAACACCTGCCATCCGCCTAGCAAGGTTCAGTGACGTTACCCTCGAAGCCCTGGCCAGCCACGCGACCCCGAAGGTTTCACGAGGCCCCTCTCTCCTTTGCCCCTCTACCCATCCCCTCTCCTCTTCCTATCAGATCCTCTCTCCTTCCTCGTCCTCCTCTTCCTCGTCTTCCTCCTCCTCCTCCTCTTCCTCCTCCTCCTCCTCCTCCCTCCTCCTCCTCCTCCTCCTCCTCCTCCTTCTTTCTCCTCCTCCTCTCCCTCTCCCCTGCTCATCTCTCTGCTCCCCTCCTCTACTCCCCTCTCATCTTCTTTTCTCTTCTATCTGTGATCTGTCGGCATTGGCACCGCGCGTGGCGCTGCCGGCCTTCTCCCCATTTTCTCCTTCCCCTCTCCAGACATCCGACGACGTTTTTTCAATGGGGTGCCCCAGAGGTCCCGACCCCTTTCCTGGGTCAGCTTATCCTCCCAGGTCCGTTTTTGATGGCCCTGGGGTTCGAAAGTCTGCAAACGGGCCCTTGAGGCCGAAGCTGGGCAACAGCGCCAGAACTGCGAAAATCAGCTCGCCAGAGATCTGAGCCCTCTCTTCCTCCTCCCTCCCTCCCTCCCTCCCTTCCTCCCTCCCCCTCTCCCCTCCCTTCCTCCACCGCACCCCCCTCCCTCGCGCGCGACGCGGGGCTCGAGCAGAGTGCGGCGGCCTCTGCGCGGATGTGCCCGATGGCGCGCCGCCGCCGCCGCCGCCGCCGCCGCCGCCGCCGCCGCCGCCGCCGCCGCCGTCGTCGTCGTCGTCGTCGTCGTCGTCGTCGTCGTCGTCGTCGTCGTCGTCGTCGTCGTCGTCGTCGTCGTCGTCGTCGTCGTCGTCGTCGTCGTCGTTGTCGTCTTCGTCATCGTCGTCGTCGTCGTGGTCGTCGTGGTCGTCGTGGTCGCCGTGATCGTCGCGGTCGTCGTCGTGTTGGTCGTCGTCGCCGTCGTCATTGCCTTCGTCGTCGCGGCCGTCGTCGTCGTCGTCGTCGTCGTCGTCGTCGTCGTCGTTGTCGTCGTGGCGGTGTTCGTTGTCGTCGTCGCCGTCGTGGTCGTGGTCGTGGAGATGGTGGGGGGTCGTCGTCGTAGTTGGTGTCATCACCGCCGCCGCTGCCGTCGTTGTCAATGTCATTGTCATTGTTATTGTCATTGTGTCGTCGTCGTCGTTGGCGTTGTCAGAGGAGGAGGAGGAGGAGGAGGAGGAGGAGGAGGAGGAGGAGGAGGAGGAGTGGTGGAGGAGGAGGGTGATGATGAGGAGGAGTGGAGGAGGAGGAGGGGGAGGAAGGAGGAGAGGAGGAGGAGGAGGGCAAAAGAGGCGGTAATTGGCGGGGAGGAGGGACGAGGAAGGAGGCATAGCGACGAAGGAAGAACGGTAGAGGGGGAGGAGGAGTGATGGAGAGCGGGTGGGGGGGAAGGGAAAGGGAATGAGAAGGGCGATGGGCCGATATATAATTTATGAGGAGGGAGGGGGGAGTGAGGGATGGAGGGGAATTCAGGGAGGCTTGGGGGGATTGAGGCACTACGCGGCAACATGCGTCGTTTTCTGATGACCTGCACGAGCGTCCTGTCGCCAACGACCGACCTTACAAAGCGGCACCACAAGTGTGCCTCCTCGGCTCGACTGCAGGACTCCTTCCTCCTTCCTCCTCCTCCCCCCCTCCTCCTCCTCCTCCTCCTCCTCCTCCTCCTCCTCCTCCTCCTCCTCCTCCTCCTCCTCCTCCTCCTCCTCCTCCTCCTCCTCCTCCTCCTCCTCCTCCTCCTCCCTCCACTGGGCATGCTGGGCCCGCTACTGGCTGACGCCCAGGTGGCGGCCACATCCGACTCCGTGGACCTGGAGGGTGAGGCTCTGGCGCAGCGGTTCGTGCTCCGCTTCAAGGGCGACACGGGCCTCGCGTCGCGGAGGGCCAACAAAGTTCTTGGGGCCATGCGGATCGGGCCCTCGGACTGGCGCCGCCTCGCCTGCCGCACACCTGGCGGCGAGCCCGTCGAGGTGTCCATCGGGCCCGACAATAATCGTTCGCAGATCACCCACGAACTCGCCCTCAAGAAACTCAAGGTCGCCCTCCTCCCGCATTTGGGGGGCGGCCGCGTCTTCCTGGACAAGTCGGAGGCCGCCCTTAGTAAGAACTGGCGCCAGTTCGTCAAGGTCCAGATCGACGGGCCCGCATCCGTGCCACGCGTCCTGTGGAAGGACCACAACGTGCAGGCTCTGGGGCTGGACCGTCGCGTTCTTGCTGAAGCCGCTCGCGCTGCTTTCACGCCCGACGACGGTGGGTGGTGCATTTGACCACTTCGGGAAGCTTTGGGGGGGGCCGCAGGAGGTCTTCCGCGCCTCCACCTGGAACACCCGCGCCCTCATGCACCACGACCCGCCGACTGCGGCCAATCGGGCGGCCTACCTCCGGCAGCGGTGGCAGGGCAAGGGCGTGGTGTGCTTGCAGGAGACGCATGGCTCTACAGCGAGGCTCGCTGACCAGCTGCGGTTGGTTGGATATCGATGCCGCAGTTTTGCGTCGTTCGGCCAGAACGACTTGGGTGGGGTTGTCACTGTGTTCCCGTGCGCGAGTGCTGAGATGGTGAACTTCGAGCCCAGGATGGTGGTCCGGGGGAGAGTGCTAAGGGTGAAGGCGACTCTGATCCCGCACTCGTGCGACCTCATCGTGTGGAACATTCACAATTTTGATTTGCAGGCCTCCCAGCAGAAGTACGTGGCCGACCGGCTTCAGGAGGATCTGCTTTGGGCGGGCCTCGCCCCGCGTCAACGATCCATCCTCGTGATGGGCGATTTCAACTTCCGGGCCCTTCCTGCCGTTCCTGAGGAGGCGCAGGCTGCTGGTCGCAGGGAGGAGCACGGGCCTCGCCCACCTCGGCACTGGCGCGCGGGGCTGCGCGGCTACACGGAGCTGCAGCCTGCGGAGCCGACCCACTGGGCTCAGAATCGCGGGACCTACAGCTCCATCGACAGGATCTACGTGGGCGCCCCGCAGTGGCTGCAATGCCAGACGTGGATGCAGCTCTCCAACGGCGGCGACCCGAGGGAGCTCCACTGCAGTGGGCTCAGCGACCACACGCTGCTGACCCTCGCGTGGTCGCGCCACCCGCCAGCGCGCCGGGACCCCGATCGGCCGGCGCCGATCCCCGACTACATCTGCAAGCTCCCGCGGTACCGGGAGCTGGTGGGCCTCTACGTCGCGGCCCTCCCGCTCGAGCGACTTCCTGCTCCGGAGCGGCTACTGGTCTCCATGAGGCTCCTGCAGGCGGCGGCGAAGGAGGTGCAGAATGAGGGGTTGAGGGCGATGTCGGGGACCCGGCGCTCGACGGCGACGATCTGGCGGCAGATGGCGCGGGCTTGCTGGCGGGAGGAATGGAGGTTTGCTGACCTCCTCTGCCGCCGCCACCCGTGGGCGCAGGAGTTCCTGGACGTCGACACCACGCGACGCACGGTCGTCATGAAGCGGCCCGACGAGTTCCACCGAAGGCACGCCCTCGCCCAACGCCGCTTCATGGCGCAGCGGGGCCGCGAGGCCGAGGCGGACGTGGCGGCGGCCCAGGGGTGCCCCCCTCCTGGCCCTGAGAGCGAGGACCAAGCCAGGCGAGCGAAGAGTGAGCTCATGCGCCTGCGCGGGCAGCAGCGGGCCCTGCGGCGTCGGGCGGCGCTCTGGTCGCCCTTCTCGGCGCGGCGCTGCCTGGGTGCGGTCAAGACGCAGCGTGGCGCGGTGACCGCCCCGCTGGACAAGGCGGCCGCCCTCGCCTCCCATTGGGGCGCGGTCTTCGATCCCGAGCCGCAGACGCCATGGGCGCAAGCAGTGGCGCGAGCGGATCGGTCGGCAATACATTCAGTGTCGCGGCCTCCAGCGCTATGACTGGGAGGCCCTGGGGCCGCCCACCAAGCAGGACATCGCCAGGGGCATCGCCTCGGCCCGCGCCTCGGCCCCCGGGGTCGACGGGCTCCCTGCCAGAGCATGGGGTGCCCACCCCGCGCTGGCGGACGCCCTCGCGGCGGCCGTGCACTGGCAGATAGACGGGCTGCCGTTGGGGATCGCCTTCAACGGCTCCATCTTGATCTGTCCGCCGAAGGGCGACGAGCCGGACGACGTCATCGGACAGCCTGTTTCTCGTGGGGCTGAGGACACGCGGCCGCTCTCGCTCCGGAACTCGGGGGCCGAGATCATCTCCTGGGCCCTGAACGCCAAGCTGAAGCGCGCAGTGGCGGCGTCTGTGTGCCGGACACAACGAGGCTTCCTGACGGGCCGCGACTTCTGCGAAAACTTGGTCGAGGGCGACGCCTTCGCGAGGATGGCGGGGATGATGGCCGCTGCCGCTGGGCCGCGCGCCCGGTCCGGACCGCCGCCGGCGCCCTGGCGGCCGCCGCCGCCACCCGCGCCGAGCGGGAGCGCCCCGCGCCGCCGTGCGCCCGGGAATTCTGAGCGCGCAGGCAGGAGCGCTCAGAATTCGCCGCGGGGGTCCGGGCGTCCCCTGGCGGTTCCCTGCGCGGCCTCGGCCCAGGCGTACCTTAACGATTCCTTAAGGTACGCCTCAGCAGCGCCCGGCGCCGGCGCCCGATCCAGGCCGCGGGCTGTGGCGTCAGCGCGCCGGCGGCCCGGGCGCTTGCTGGCAAGGGCGGCGCGCCCGCCGGCGGCGGCTCCGGCCTGCGCCCTGGAGTCGGGGACGTGCTCCTCAACCCGTCCTCGACCGAGTGGCTGAAGCTGGACCCTGCGGAACTGCGAGGGCTGGGTCCGCCTCGGCCGTTTCTGTGCAGCTACGATTACTCGCGCGCCTTCCCCTCGGTCTTCCAGGATTGGCTGTGGTGGGTGCTGGAGGAGTGGGAGATCCCGCAGCCCCTGCTGAATGGGCTCCAGATGCAATGCAGCGAGGTCCGTGCCCTGGACTCCGGGCCGACGCGCGAGGAGCTCTTCCGTGTGCGCAGCGGGGTGCTGCAATGTGACCCTGCTTCGGGATCCCTGTACGCGGCTGGAGAGCACCCGTTCTGCCAGGACATGGCCAAGCACTTGGAGGGGCGGCGCCGTGGCATCGACCGCTGGTGCGCGGACGACCTCCTCGCGGTCGCGCTCCAGCTGGTCGGACTTCGCGTGGTCGGGAGGATCATGAAGGCCTCGGCGCTGCTCGCCAACCTGGTCCTGAAGGAGGAGAAGTGCGTCTGCGTGCCCCTCTGGGCACCCCTCTCGGCGGAGGTGGAGGAGGAAGCGCGCCAGATCCTCGGCTCCGTCTCCGAGCGGTGGCGGCTCTTCCGCATCGCCCCGATGGCGAAGGCGCTCGGGGTCCTCCTGGGCCCAGCAGCGTCGACGGACCTCCAGTGGGCGCCAACGCTGGAGAAGTGGGAATGGCGCGCCGGGCAGATTGCCGCTGCCCCCTACGATGCACAGACGGCGGTGCAGGCCTACCACGAGAGGGCCCTGGCGGTCGCCTCGTACAAGGCGCAGCTCATCCCGCTGCCGAAGCGCCTGCCCAAGGCAGAGCACCACGCGCTTTGTCGGCTCCTGCGGGCGCCGGGCAGCTGGCTCGGACTCTTGGATTTCTCGGCCCTGGACCTGCTCGCTTTGACCCCGATACACCTCCTTGGGGACCTCTGCGCAGCGGCCCGCGTGCGCACCGCCACGCAGACCTTGGTGACATGGCGCGCGATGGCGCGGGCCCTCCGCGAGACGGCAGCGCGGTGCCTTTCGCTCGAGGCCCTCGGCCGAGGGCTCGCGTGGCCGGGCTTCTGGGAAGCGAGGCCCCTTGCCATGCTCCTGAAGGAGGCGGCGACGCTGCTGGGCTCGGAGACTGCCCTGAGGGTCGCGTCGCTGGAAGCCGAGGCGCGGCGCTGTGAGGGGAGGCGGCCCCGTCTTCAGGCCGCGCTGATGCGCGCCCTCGCGCTGCCCGATCGACGCTCGGGCCTGGCTGCGAGGGTGCGCAAGCGCCTGGAGAAATGGTTTGCCATTCCCCCGGCCTCCCTCGTCCCTCTCGACCTTGATTCGCTTCGCTCCTTCCTCGCTTCCCTCCCCCCTGCATGGCGCTGGGCTCTCTTCAAGACGTGGACTGGGGGGTGGGTCACAGACACTAGGCTAAGGAACCCCCAACACGGGTGTCTCCTCGGCTGTGGTGGAGCCCTCGACTCACTCTCCCTCAGGACGTCCTGTTCCCGCGGACATGCTTGCCCGGCTAGCCCTCGTTGGCCAATGCACGGACGCGGCTCGTCTTCTGGTGATGCGTTTCCACCTTCATCGGCACTTGCATCAGGTCCGGAAGCGCGGGCCTGACGGGGCGGTTTCCGACCGGCAGGGTTTCGAGTGTGCCCGAGCCGCTCGGGCGGCTACAGACCTCCCGCGCGGCCGGCGTGCCGCCCCAGCCTTCGCCCGCGCCCGTCAACGTGCGGCAGCGACTCGCCCAGGGCGTTTAGGAGCAATCGACCTCATTGTGACGCTGGCCCCCCTCCTCCTCCTCCCTCCTCTCCCTCCTCCCTCCTCCCTCCTCCCTCCTCCCTCCTCCTCCTCCCTCCTCCCTCCTCCCCCTCCTCCCTCCTCCCTCGCCCCCCTCCTGCTCCTCCTCCTCTCCTCCTTCCTCCTCAACCTCCCTCCTCCACCTCCTCCTCCTCCACCTGCTCCTCCACCTCCTCCCCCTCCTCCTCTTCCCTCATCCCCTCCGCCTCCTCCTCCCCCTCCCCCTCCCCCTCGAGCATTGTTTCGCAATGCCACCCGCCTCCCGCCGTCAGTCTCTCTGGAGTGGCCATCGTCGGCAGGGGCCGCAATCGGTCGACGGGGGTCGCGGCGGTGGGCCCTGGGATCGCCCCTACGGCAACAGTGTGGATTGAGGCAACGACGTCGTCGTCGTCGTCGTCGTCGTCGTCGTCGTCGTCGTCGTCGTCATCGTGGTCGTCGTCGTCGTCGTCGTCGTCGTCGTCGTCGTCGTCGTCGTCGTGGTCGTCGTCGTCGTCGTCGTCGTCGTCGTCGTCGTGGTCGTCGTGGTCGTCGTGGTCGCCGTGGTCGCCGTGGTCGTCGTGGTCGCCGTCGTGTAGGTCTTCGTCGTCGTCGCCGTCGTCGTGGCCCTCGTCGTCGCGGCCGTCGACGTCGTCGTCGTGGCGGTGTTCGTTGTCGTCGTCGCCGTAAACGTCCACTCTCCGCGTGGTTGCCGGACGGGCTCCGTGGGTGCCGACCACTGCGGCGCTGAGACTCGGAGGCGAGCGAGGGGGGAAGCGAGAAGGAAAAGGCCTTCTCAGACAGCGGCGGGACTTCTCAGAAGTCCTCGGGAATTCCAGGGGACTCGTCCCTCGGTAGGGAGCGCCTTCTGCGGTAGGGACGAGACTTTACCCGCTGTGGGCCCGCCGAATTACGTGGGTGCGCCTTCTGCGGCCAGAAGTCCAGGGGACTTCCCAGCCTTCTGAGAAGGCCCGCCCGGGCCCCCCTTTCACTTCCCCCCAGGGCGCGCCGCCGATAGACCGTTGCGTTTTTCCCCATGTCCAAAGGATGGGGTTCTGGTCATTCTCCGACCGCGCCGGACCACCCATACCACCCTCTCTCTGCACTAGACGATGATGATGATTGTCATGATGATGACCATGGTATGGTGAGAGTATGATGTGAGGCTGATGGTGATGGTGAATGATGGATGAGTATGATGCTGCTGCTGCTTCTGCTGATGATGATGATGCTGATGATGATGCTGATGATGATGATGATGCTGATGATGATGATGATGATGATGATGATGATGATGATGATGATGATGATGATGATGATGATGATGACGATGAGCAGATGATGAGGATGTCTCGAGCGGTTTGCTGGTTTTAGCATCCCTAAGGGGGGGCCGCCAGGGGTATCTCACGGCCTCCGTTCGCGCCCAAATGGTGGGGATGTCTCAGGCGGTTTGCCTGTTGTGGTCCCCAACATCCTCCGCTTTCGGAGCAGATTTGGAGGATGTCTCGAGCGAGGCTCTCATTTTCGCCGCCCAGGGGGCCAGATTTTGAGGATGTCTCGATCGGTTTGCTTGTTTTGGTGGTCAGACTCGTGGGCACATATTCTCACCATGATGCCACAGGAGGCTCCAGCAGGCTTCAGGAGGCCCCAGGAGGCCACATGAGGTCCCAGAGGCCACAGGTAGATTCAAGAGGCCACAGGATGTCCCAAGAGGCTCCAGGAGGCCCCAGGAAGCTCCAGGAGGCCGCAGGAAACCACAGGAGGCCCCAGGAGGCCACAGGAAGCGCCAGGAGGCCCAGGCAACAGGAGGCCATGAGAGGCCCCAGGAGCAGGAGGCCTCAGAAGGCAACAGGAGTGGCTCCAATCCAACATGTTTTACGTATGCTCCTATAGATTGGGCCTCACCTGGAGCACGAATCCTTGATGTTGTTCCTACATATTGGGCCTCCCCTGGGGCACGAGTCCTTGGTGTTTTGCGTGTGCTCCTATAGACTGCCCTTCTCCTGTGGCTCCAATCCGCAATGTTTTATGTACGTCTGTTCCTATAGATCGGGCTTCCCCTGGGGCACGAATCCTCCCTAGGAGGTCCCAGGAGGCTCCAGGAGGCTACGCGAGGCTCCAGGAGGCCTCAGGAGGCCACTCGAAGCCCCAAGAGACCCAGGAGGCCCCAAGAGGCTCTTGGAGGCCCCAGGAGGGCCCAGGAGGTTTCTGGAGGCCCCAGGAGGCCCCAGGCTCATGCGCGGAGACGCGCTCGTACTACCGAGACTCATTCACGCTCCAATCCGTTCGAAGTTAGATTCATGACCAGACCGTCGCAACTCAAGCCCGCTTATATTCGAAAACTCTTGCGCTCCACGCAGTGAGTAATTCTCTCGATTGTCGCTTTGGGGGAGTTTTGACAGCGGCGGTGTGGGGGCACTGCATTTCCCACCCAGCGCCGCTGGGGCTGCTGCTGATTTTGTTTGCAACCCTGCCGCTCGATGCAGTAAACTTACACGCGGCACCGCATATGTATTCAGATGTCAAGAAACCAGCTTACCTTTTGGGACCACTCCAGGGTGTTGGGGTGTTCCACCTACCGTCGCGCGGGGATCAAGGTTTCCCACTGCCACTATTAACGCCTGCTCCCATTTTTCCGGGTTCAACCATTCATTTTTCGATATCCGTGGGTTCTGCGAATGGAAGGACAGGACGGCACACGGTATTTTCAGAGCGCAGGCCGAAGAACTCGTGGGCTCGTGGGAAGGTTGAAGGCGAAATTGCCGCCAACGGTGCAGAGCAAAGCCGGGAATATCGAGCTACGGGGAAGTTCATGGTTCCTGTCGCACCGTCGTATGCCACAGAGGTCGCAGTCATATTCCGGGATGTTCTCACAGGCAGTTCTTACCGGCTCAACGGGAAAGGGTTGTCCACCACGGTTGAGAAGAGCCTGGAGAACGACGCGCGTTTGAGGCTGGTGGCAAGGCGAAGGCTTTCTTGGAGAGGCAGGCGACGGGATGATCGATGCCACTGCTCAGGTACTCCACTCGGGCCCACCAGACTCCCGTATCTCGGTGAAGACAGCTGCTGGAGAGAGGGCCATGAGGGAGGTGGACGAGAAATGGCAGATGAGATGAGGCACCCCGCCGACATGGTAATCACGATTATATTCGGTCAGGACTCCATTGGATCATATGTATCTGGCTGTCCGCCATTGAACCGAGGCCCCCAATGCGGGGCCCTGCCTCCTTCGCTCTGTGAGTGTTGTGGAGCACGGCCCAGGCAAAAACGAGGCAGCCATCCAGAGTGATTCTGGGGGCCCCGTCGGAACCTTGGAGGCGGAGCTGCGGACCTTCCGGCCCGCGGGGGAGTTCGTTGAGCTTCCCAGCGGGTGGGCTACGGCCATGTCTTGGAACTCCTGTAAGAAAGGGTCATCGGCTGCGAAGAAAGTTTGCAAACAATGCCAGCAGTTTGCGCACGTGGATTCTGTTGCATTTTTGCAGGAGGTACCTGCGTGACCCGGTCTGTGTGCCTACGCGCATTCAGCCCATGCTGTTCTAGTTGCAAAGCAGTGCGGCTGTGCTTCTGTTATTGCTAGACTCGGGATGCGAGCGCTTAGAGGGCTGCCTGTGGAGCTTATTGGTGCGGTGCTGTCATTCGAATTTGATTTACATGTCAGCCCATCATATTCTAGATCATATTGAAGTGGATGGGTCGGTGGCCAGGCTATGAGGAAAAGTGCAGGTTCGTCCAGGGAGTTCGCCATTCCTATTTGTCAGTTCTTTTTGAGATTGTGCTTGGAGTTGACGCGAGCGCGCGAGTTCCTTCGTCTTGGGGGTCTCTCACGCGTTGCTTGGGCAGCGGAGGAGCCATGGAGTGTCACCGCTTGCGTTAGTAGGTTCATGGATGGAGACCTTGAGGCTGTCTTTCTTGAGTGCCGGCAATGCGGAGAGTCCGGGGAGGGGCCCGCGGGAGTTCGACGACTCCGGTCGCGCAGGGGGGGCAGGGGGCAGCTTGGCACATGAAGCCCAAAACCACCACGTCGATGCCCCTGCCTTCATAACCGCTAAGGGCGAAGCGTGGGTATAAAGACCGATGCGCAACATATCGAAGCGATCTGATCACGTTGCCCGCGCGGGTGGAAGTGTCGAGCGCGTCTCGGCGATCTTGCCGCGTGGAATTTCAGGCGCGTCGTTTGGGGGGGTTGGCGCCCGTGGACGGGCAGAACGTGGCGGAGTTCGGGCAGGTTGTCGTGAACTCCCTGGACTTGTTTTCTGCGTTCCAGGCCGCGATGCAGGAGGCCGTCCCTGGCATTGGATTTCAGAGGGTGGGGGTGTGGGGGGGGGGGGGGGGCATTGAGAGAGAGGAGGGTGACCGATGAAATTATCAACGCGACTCATAGACTCGCTGGAAAAGCTGTCGCTATTGCTGCGCCAGGGGGAGGGCGAGAACGAGTTCGAATGTTGTCGGGGGTCGCGCGCGAACCAAGCGCAAGCGTAATGGGCGACGCCAGTGAACGCTGCCGCGAAGCGGTATTTCGTCGAAACTATGGC